TTCGTTTCTCCTTTTGGGCCACCCCGCCTCGGTGGGATACGGCTGGTTTGTTGAAATAATAATAATAATAATAATATCTTCTTTCATATAGGGGGATAAGTCTGTTGAGTATACCTGATAAAGTGTATGGTAGAGTTATTATTGAAAGAATTAAAAGTAAGACAGAGAATAGGATAGCAGATGAACAAGGAGGATTTAGGAAAGGTAGGGGGTGTGTGGACCAGGTGTTTACAGTGAAACATATAAGTGAACAGTATTTAGATAAGGCTAAAGAGGTCTTTGTGGCATTTATGGATTTGGAAAAGGTGTATGACAGGGTGGATAGGGGGGCAATGTGGCAGATGTTGCAGGTGTATGGTGTAGGAGGTAGGTTACTGAAAGCAGTGAAGAGTTTTTACGAGGATAGTGAGGCTCAAGTTAGAGTTCATAGGAAAGAGGGAAATTATTTCCCAGTAAAAGTAGGCCTTAGACAAGGATGTGTGATGTCACCGTGGTTGTTTAATATATTTATAGATGGGGTTGTAAGAGAAGTAAATGCGAGGGTCTTGACACGAGGCGTGGAGTTAAAAGATAAAGAATCACACATAAAGTGGGAGTTGTCACAGTTGCTCTTTGCTGATGACACTGTGCTCTTGGAGATTCTGAAGAGAAGTTGCAGAGATTGGTGGATGAATTTGGTAGGGTGTGCAAAAGAAGAAAATTGAAAGTGAATATAGGAAAGAGTAAGGTTATGAGGATAACAAAAATATTAGGTGATGAAAGATTGGATATCAGATTGGAGGGAGAGAGTATGGAGGAGGTGAATGTATTCAGATATTTGGGAGTGGACGTGTCAGCGGATGGGTCTATGAAGGATGAGGTGAATCATAGAATTGATGAGGGGAAAAGGGTGAGTGGTGCACTTAGGAGTCTGTGGAGACAAAGAACTTTGTCCTTGGAGGCAAAGAGGGGAATGTATGAGAGTATAGTTTTACCAACACTCTTATATGGGTGTGAAGCATGGGTGATGAATGTTGCAGCGAGGAGAAGGCTGGAGGCAGCGGAGATGTCTTGTCTGAGGGCAATGTGTGGTGTGAATATAATGCAGAAAATTCGTAGTTTGGAAGTTAGGAGGAGGTGCGGGATTACCAACACTTTTGTCCAGAGGGCTGAGGAAGGGTTGTTGAGGTGGTTCGGACATGTAGAGAGAATGGAGCGAAACAGAATGACTTCAAGAGTGTATCAGTCTGTAGTGGAAGGAAGGCGGGGTAGGGGTCGGCCTAGGAAAGGTTGGAGGGAGGGGGTAAAGGAGGTTTTGTGTGCGAGGGGCTTGGACTTCCAGCAGGCGTGCGTGAGCGTGTTTGATAGGAGTGAATGGAGATGAATGGTTTTTAATACTTGACGTGCTGTTGGAGTGTGAGCAAAGTAACATTTATGAAGGGGTTCAGGGAAACCGGCAGGCCGGACTTGAGTCCTGGAGATGGGAAGTACAGTGCCTGCACTCTGAAGGAGGGGTGTTAATGTTGCAGTTTAAAAACTGTAGTGTAAAGCACCCTTCTGGCAAGACAGTGATGGAGTGAATGATGGTGAAAGTTTTTCTTTTTCGGGCCACCCTGCCTTGGTGGGAATCGGCCAGTGTGATAATAAAAAAAAAAATAAATCTTCTTTCACTCTAAAAATGGTGTGTTGCTGTTTGGTTATTCTGTACTAACTTGTACACAATGTAAGAGTATTTGTATTGTGAGGTAATTATTATAATAAAAAAAATATTGAGATAAATATTTTACAAACTCTTACAAACGTTCGTGAATGAACTAAAAGTAGACATATATTAATAGGCATTTATTTCACCTGACCAAGTGATCACCCACTACCTGTTCAGTTTGTATTCTTACATTGTCTGAACTCTGTATCGCGTTCTCTTTCTCGTTTACTCTTTCGTTAACCCTTTGGCTCTAATTGACACTGGCGTCTAAGGTTAGCTGTGATAAAAAGAGGAGTCATAAGTCTCTTGCTTTAAGTGCCAAGCTAGAGGATGATGGTGTGCCATTCTGATTTTATTCAATAAACACCCTGCCACTCACCTCTCACACATTAATATTAATATTTTAAGGTAAGTAATAAGTGTACTCTGTGTGTATCTTACCTTTAATTGTGTTTTTAATGCCTATTTCTATTGCTAACTTAATATAAGTTAGTGTAAACCTGTTGTCTGGCATTTATTGCATATTTTATATGTGCTCTGTTAATAATACTTGTGGGGCTGTGTGGTAGCCGGGTGGAGGGACAACATTACGTTTTCTCTGCTCAGCCACCAGAGAAAACGTGTATGAATCTGCGTTTGGCCCAGCCACTCCCCCACTCCGCTTTTGTTTACAATTTTCGGCATGAATTATTCATTACTTCTCCCTTCGTTTATGATGGCATCTAAAGATAGTTGTTAGAAACGATTAAATTCAGTGAACAAGGTATGTCGATGCTAATAATATGGCTCTGGGCCACAGTGTAGGTAGCTGGTAGGTGTAGCCCAGGTGGGCTACTCCTACCGGCTACCTGCACTGACTTCCTACAAATAAATACTGCTCACCTCTCTTCCTATATTAAGACTACACATATTTTAAGGGAAATAGTGAGTGTACTGTATGTGCATTTTACCTCTCTGGGATGTTTTAAATATCATATATTAAGTATGAGACGGGGAGCCAGTGCTACCTACACCTGGGCTACCTGCACCTGACTTCCTACAAATAAGTACTACTCACCTCTCTCCCTACATTAAGATTACAAATACTTTAAGATAAGTAATGAATGTACTGTGAATGTATTTTACTTTGTGTGATTTTAATGCCTAGTTCTATTACTAACTTAATATAATTTAGTGTAAATTTGTTGCCTGGCATTTATATGCATTTATAAATGGAAAAAATGGCGTTCTGCCTTCCGGCGATGTCTGCTTTTCGGCTACAGCCTGGAACCTAACCCGCCGTGTAAGTGGGGCCCTACTGTATATTAGACCCACCAGCTGATGCTTATTAGACGTTTGACATCATTTGTTTACTCTTGAACATCGGCAAAAATTGAACATTTCTGGTACTTTGAGCCCTGTTTCAAGCCATTTTCAGTACTAAAACCAATCGAAATCATCTCTGTAATATATCTTCCATTCTATCAAATGAGACCAAGAAATCGCGAATGCAAACGTAAAAAACATATGAAAAAATACCGCAAAGTCTCTGTTTTAATCCAAAATTATGGTCACAGTTTTTTTTCTCTCTTTATGCACTGTGTGCTATAGGATTTATTTTATGTGGTCACACTTACCACATACATGTATTCTATCATATCTAGGCCCAAATTTACCACTCACAGCTTATCTTAGTGATTTGAGCTCATGGCATTGATCTACGGCTTGGACTCTGGCTTCAAAGCCATAGATCTATGGGACAGACCCTGAAAGGGTTAAGAAATTCATGATGCCTGTCAGCACTTTTTAAATTTGGGTCACTACCGTGGAATGGGTGAGAAAAGCAACTGGCCTTTGATATACCTTTGAAGAGTTTTGAGAGTTTATCTACTCTCTGAGTCCGGCCATGGGCCAGGCTCGTCTGGTACTTGCCTGGTCAACCAGGCTGTTGCTGCTGGAGGCCTGCTGCCCCACATATCCATCACAGCCTGGTTGATCTGGCCTGAGTCAAAACCTACATAAAAAGGGGTTGACTTCTACTGTGACACTTCAGCAACCACTCATACAACACATGGTCAACATCTTTGTTAGCAATTCCACATAAATATTCTCAGAATGATACAGATTTTGTTATTCTGGGTCTACAAATCTGAATAGTCATATTTCATGCATTGTACTCTAGCATATGTGAAATTATTCTTCCCTTATCCAGTTGATTTAACACTTCCTTCTTTTCTATTCATTATATATTCCTGGTATTGTGCTTACCATCATTGACAGTGTCTTCAACATGTTGAGAATTATTATCCTCAATAACTGTGCTGATAGTAAACCAAGATAAACTGAGCCAACAAAAATGAGGCATCACTTGGTTGTTTTGGGTACCCAGGCCTTGCAGGCAGAAAAAAAATTAGAAGTTTAATTCTGCCAGGTCAGATTACTGGAGATTATCCATCCATGCGGGATGGTTAAGTTTGATTTTATGGGGTTCCAAGTTATACAGCTGGGGATTAATTGGGTTGTGGTGTAATAACTGCAGCAGAATGAGAGTCATTCCTGTGGCTGGAATAATTCACAATAATCCCTCAAATTGGAAATGAAAGCTGGTTTGTATTTTTGGTTCATCATGTGCTGTTATCAAGTGAGTTGATAAGGGTCCAAGCCAGGAAGAAACCTGGTGCTGTTTTCATTTCCACTTTTGCAGGCAGGAGTGTATAAACAAAAGTAATAATAGCTAGAGTGAACGTTTAGTCATTCTCAGCAGATGAACCTTAGTACCTATAGACTGTAAGGCTGTCTATACCTGTCTTTCCTATTTACTAGACTTTTTTTTTTCTCCTTTTTCTGTCTTTTTCCTCCTTTTCTCTCACCCCCTCTTATCTCCTTTTCCCTCATTCTTCTCTTTTCTCTTCCCTTTTTATATCATCTCTTCCCTCCCTCTTTACATCATCTCCCCTTATTATCTTCTCCCTCTCCTTCCTCTTTATATCCTCTCTGGCCTTCCTCTTTATATCCTTTCTGCCCTCTCTGTTTATATTCTATCCTCTCCACTCCCTCTTTATAGCCTCTTCCCTCCCTCTTAATATCCTCTCTTCTTTCCTTTATATCCTCTCTCCCTTCCCTCTTTATATCCTATCCCCCTCCCTCAATATCCTCTCTTCCCTCCCTCATATCTCCTTTCTCCCCTACCTCTCTTTTCTCATCTCTTCTCTCCTGTCCCATCCTTCTTCTCTCCTCTCTCCTTATTCAACAGACTTGATTTTCACTAATCATATTATCTTCCAATAATTGTTGTAATGGTTTAATATGTTAAAATTCACTCATCTTACCTTTCCAGTACCAAGGACAAGTTTATCCGTGTAAACCATGATGACTTCTTTAGCAATGAGCAGCATATCCTCAGCAACCTACCAACTAAGGCGGAGAAGATGTGCCGCTATGACATGGATGACCTAGATGACAAATGGCTCAATGCTTATAATGGAGAACGAGCAAGAATGGGTGAGTACAGCATATTAGTCATATATTTTACTCCTATAAGAGAGGTGAGTTATTGCTATGTGTACTGCACCTGGAAATGGTTTCAGGGGTCATTGCTCTGTGGCCCAGTGGCCAGCCTAACATACCAAGCTGTTGGAGCCAGCCACACACAGCTTGATGCATGCACTGCCACCTTGCTGATCAAAAACTGACTTTATCACTAAAAATCTGCTTTCTGCAATTTTCCAAGCTAACAGGAGAGTGTTTTGGGTTCTTGGGTGATTTAAGAACATAAGAACATAAGAAAGAAGGAACACTGCAACAGGCCTTCTGACCCATGCAGAGCAGGTCCATGTCTACCCTCCCGGATTAGACCAATGACCCACCCCCCGGACTATCCCAATGACCCACCCAGTCTGGTCATCCCCACTCAAGGATGGAGCACTGTACCAGACCCAGCAGCACAAGCTAGTCAGGTCCAACTCACACCCACCCACACCTACTCATGTATTTATCTAACCTATTTTTAAAACTACACAACGTTCTAGCCTCAATAACTGTACTCGGGAGCTTGTTCCACTCATCCACAACTCTATTATCAAACCAGTGCTTTCCTATATCCTTCCTGGATCTGAATTTTTCCAACTTGAAACCATTGCTGCTGGTCCTGTCTTGGCTGGAAATTTTCAGCACTATTTACATCCCCTTTATTTATTCCTGTTTTCCATTTATACACCTCGATCATATTCCCCCTAATTCTACGCCTTTCGAGAGAGTGCAGATTCAGGGCCTTCAGTCTGTCCTCATAGGGAAGATTTCTGATACATGGGATCATCTTTGTCATTCTCCTTTGTACGTTTTCCAGAGCATTTATGTCCATTCTGTAATACGGTGACCAGAACTGAGCAGCATAGTCTAAATGAGGCCTAACCAAGGATATATAGAGTTGAAGAACAACCTGAGGACTTCTATTATTTATACTTCTAGATATGAAGCCAAGAATTCTGTTAGCTTTATTGCGAACACTAATGCACTGTTGTCTTGGTTTTAGGCTACTGCTAACCAGAACTCCTAAATCCTTTTCGCAATCGGTAGTATTAAGATCTACATTATTTAGTTTATATGTGGCATGGTTATTTAACTGTCCAACATTTAGAACTTTGCATTTGTCAATATTAAACTGCATCTGCCACTTCTCCGACCATTGCGTCAGTCTATTCAAGTCATCCTGGAGTGCTCTAATGTCCTCATTAGAATGAATTGGATGGCCTATTTTGGTGTCATCAGCAATTTACTTATTTTTTATTTATTTATTATCACACTGGCCGATTCCCACCAAGGCAGGGTGGCCCAAAAAGAAAAACTTTCACCATCATTCACTCCATCACTGTCTTGCCAGAAGGGTGCTTTACACTACAGTTTTTAAACTGCAACATTAACACCCCTCCTTCAGAGTGCAGGCACTTCACTTCCCATCTCCAGGACTCAAGTCCGGCCTGCCGGTTTCCCTGAACCCCTTCATAAATGTTACTTTGCTCACACTCCAACAGCACGTCAAGTATTAAAAACCATTTGTCTCCATTCACTCCTATCAAACACGCTCACGCATGCCTGCTGGAAGTCCAAGCCCCTCGCACACAAAGCCTCCTTTACCTCTTCCCTCCAACCTTTCCTAGGCCGACCCCTACCCCGCCTTCCTTCCACTACAGACTGATACACTCTTGAAATCATTCTGTTTCGCTCCATTCTCTCTACATGTCCGAACCACCTCAACAACCCTTCCTCAGCCCTTTGGACAACAGTTTTGGTAATCCCGCACCTCCTCCTAACTTCCAAACTACGAATTTTCTGCATTATATTCACACCACACATTGCCCTCAGACATGACTGCCTCCAGCCTTCTCCTCGCTGCAACATTCATCACCCATGCTTCACACCCATATAAGAGCGTTGGTAAAACTATACTCTCATACATTCCCCTCTTTGCCTCCAAGGACAAAGTTCTTTGTCTCCACAGACTCCTAAGTGCACCACTCACCCTTTTCCCCTCATCAATTCTATGATTCACCTCATCTTTCATAGACCCATCCGCTGACACGTCCACTCCCAAATATCTGAATACATTCACCTCCTCCACACTCTCTCCTCCAATCTGATTCCAATCTTTCATCACCTAATCTTTTTGTTATCCTCATAACCTACTCTTTTCCTGTATTCACTTTTAATTTTCTTCTTTTGCATACCCTAGCAAATTCATCCACCAATCTCTGCAACTTCTCTTCAGAATCTCCCAAGAGCACAGTGTCATCACCAAAGAGCAACTGTGACAACTCCCACTTTGTGTGTGATTCTTATCTTTTATCTCCACGCCTCTTGCCAAGACCCTGGCATTTACTTCTCTTACAACCCCATCTATAAATATATTAAACAACCACAGTGACATCACACATCCTTGTCTAAGGCCTACTTTTACTAGGAAATAATTTCCCTCTTTCCTACATACTCAAAACTTGAGCCTCACTTTCCTCGTAAAAAAAACTCTTCGCTGCTTTCAGTAGCCTACCTCCTACACCATACACCTGCAAATCTGCCACATTCCCCCCCCTATCCACCCTGTCATACGCCTTTTCCAAATCCATAAATGCCACAAAGACCTCTTTAGCCTTATTTAAATATGTTCACTTATGTGTTTCACTGTAAAACACCTGGTCCACACACCCCTACCTTCCTAAAGCCCCCTTGTTCAGCTGCTATCCTATTCTCCTTTTTAAAATTTAAATTCTTTAAAATAATAACTCTACCATACACTTTACCAGGTATACTCAACAAACTTTTTTTTTTTTTTTTTTTCAACAAGTCGGCCGTCTCCCACCGAGGCAGGGTGACCCAAAAAAGAAAGAAAATCCCCAAAAAGAAAATACTTTCATCATCATTCAACACTTTCACCACACTCGCACATTATCACTGTTTTTGCAGAGGTGCTCAGAATACAACAGTCTAGAAGCATACACATATAAAGATACACAACATATCCCTCCAAACTGCCAATATCCCAAACCCCTCCTTTAAAGTGCAGGCATTGTACTTCCCATTTCCAGGACTCAACAAACTTATTCCCCTATAATTTTTGCACTCTCTTTTGTCCCCTTTGCCTTTATACAAAGGAACTATGCATGTCGCTATTTATTCCCTCATCTATGTCGTTTATGTAAATTGTGAACAATAATGGGCCCAACGCTGACCCCTGAGGAACACCGCTTGTGACGTGCCCCCATTCTGATTTCTCCCCATTTATGCAAACTCTCTGCTGTCTATCTGTCAGCCATGCCTCTACCCAGGAAAAAATTTCTCCTATTCCGTGTGCCCTAAGTTTCCTCAATAGCCTCTGGTGTGGAACTCTATCGAAAGCCTTACTGAAGTCCATATACACAATATCATATTCATTACCATGGTCTACCTCCTCAAACACCTTAGTGAAAAAAGTTAGTAAATTCGTAAGACAGGAACGCCCCTTTGTAGAACCGTGTTGAGAATCATTAATCAATCTGTGCCTGTCAAGATGGCTACGAATTGCTTCGGCAATTATTGATTCCATAAATTTTCCCACTATGGAGGTAAGGCTTATTGGGCTATAGTTTGAAGCCATGGACCTGTCACCTGCCTTGTAAATAGGTATTACATTTGCCATTTTCCACTTATCAGGCACTATCCCCAGTTTGAAGTGATAGTTAAAATGATTAGCCAAAGGTATGCTAATTTTCCTCTTTACATTCCTTTAACACCTTGCAAACAGTTCATCAGGGCCTGGGGATTTGTTGGGTTTTTAGTTTCTCTATTTGTCTCAGGCCATGTCACTAGTTACCGCAATCGTATATAGTTTATCATTATCCTGCTCTACGTAATCTATTATTTCAGGAATACGCTAGTATTTTCCTGGGTGAAAACTGAGAGGAAATAGGTATTTAGAATTTCACACATATCCCTTTTCACTGTCAGTGATCTGACCAGTGTTACTCTTAAGTGGGCCAAACTTGTCCCTAATCTTACTTCTGTATACCTGAAAGAACCCTTTTGGGTTAGTCTTTGAATCCCTTGCGACCTTAGCCTCATAATCTCTTTTTGCTTTTCTTATTCCTTTCTTTATTTCTCTCTTTAATTGAATATATTGATTTTTTAACTGCCCATCCCCTCTTTTGGTATGCCTATATATGCCTCTCTTTTGACCAGTGAGATGTTTTAATCTATTGTTCATCCATTTGGGATAATTTTTGTTAGATCTAATTTCCCTACCTGGAACAAAAGTTGTCTGGGCAGCTAGAACTATACTCTGAAAAACGTCATATTGGCAACCAAGATCACATACCTGACCCATAGTTAGGACATCCCAATTTAGCCCACCCAAGTAATTTTTCAGTCCCATGAAGTCGGCCAAGCGAAAATCTGGGACACAGATTTGATTGCAGTTATCTGGGTAATTCCATGATATATTTAAACTAAGTGATTTGTGATCACTTTCCCAAAGCTCATCATTAACCTCAAGATTATTAATTAGTGAATCTTTGTTGGCAAGAACCAAGTCAAGCAGATTGTTTCCTCTAGTTGGTTCTGTCACAACCTGTTCTAAAAAGCAATCCTGAACCGTATCAAGAAAGTCACTAGACTCAAGATTTCCTGTCATATTGTTCCAATCAATTTGTCTAAAGTTAAAATCTCCATTATCACAACATTTTCATATCTAGATGCCTTATGAATTTCGTCCCATAACAGCTTACTGCACTCCCTATCAAGGTTTGGGGGCCTATAAATCACACCCAAAATTAATTTGTCATGTCCCTCGAGAAACTGAAGCCAAACCGATTCTGTGTTCGATGTTCTAATCTTATATCATGTCTAAGACAACAATTTAAATTTTCTCTGACATACATCGCCACACCACCCCCCTTCCTGTTGACCCTATCAGTGGGGGAATATTTTTATAACCCCGTTTTTTTGCATTCAAAAGGGAAATTTCTCTACTTTCG